ACGGGGCTCGATTCCCCAGCTGCAAAGTCCTTGAGCAAGGCATTTAACTGCTGCTCTGGGAGGTTATCAAAGCGCTCCGAGCAAATTAACTTTGATTGTTGCTTCCATACGTTATGTCTTTGCCCTAAGTCGCCCTTGCCGCCACCTTTAATAGCTTCCCAGAAAGTTCGCCGGCGCTCGCCGCCTGGCCCGGCGCTGCTCCTGCAAATAAATCCTCCAAAACGCAGGGTTTTCCCCGGCTGTTTTTCGAAGGGCTTAGGCTGTAACCTTGCCAGTGGTGTGCGGGAGGCAGAGGGAAGCTGGAGGAGTCTGTGAGAGCACACGATAACCTTTAGGGCCAAACATCAAGCTCTCTCGCGCTGACGCCTCGTGCCAGGAAAAGATATGAAATATTTTTCTTGACATTTTGGGAGGATTTGATGTATTTTTCATGTTCTTTTAGGGAGGCAGGAAGCTACACTCTCTCTGCCGGGTTCATGCAGGAGTCTAAAAGGCGCTATTGTGCTTTTAACGCTTTGTCCGCCGGCAGCGTCGACTCGCTGCTTTTCGTCTGTGGCTTCGGGGGGAAACGCATCGCAACTGGAAACCGCCGTCTTGTTTTGTGTGTCGTCGTTGTTCTCTGCATACATTTTCTAAGACGCCTGCTTGTTTCTCTCTCTTCTCCCGGCGATTAAAACTCTTTCACGCAGTGTATTCCAGAGGCGTTTCTTTTTTTTGTGTTAAACTTGTTGTCGGTTTCTTCACTTCCCAACAGCGATCAATAAAGTAAACACTAGTAAACACGTCTGTGGCGGCCGGTACAAAGCCAGTCCGTCATCGCAGTCGGTCCACATGAGATGCAGAGCTGCCGTGATTTCCACCATCGATTGGAGTCATAACTTAAGAAAAAAAAAATTGATTCCAGCTTCTGAAATGTGAATTCTTTACTTTTCAGTGACGGTGAAGTAAATATCTTTGGGTTGTTGTGTGTTTGGGGGAAACTAATTGATGTTTTTTCACCATTTTCTGACCTTTTATGAACCAAACAACGACTCGTTTAATCCAGAAATGAATTGATGCACTAAACGACTGGTTGCGGCTCTAATGAGATGATTGGACGGCCTCTTCATTAAAGTCGTCCACGAGGCTGTATGGACACGTTGCTAAAGCTAGCTAGCGAACTGATGTGACCTGCAGCATCTCCACCTGATCAGAATCCTTTTCCTGTCATGATGCAGACGGTTCCATACACACAGCGAAATTTCAGTCTCGGCTTTGAGCAAAAGAAAAATGGCGTAAATAGACTTCCGAGTATAAACACAAATGTAAAAGTAGAACCAGAAATACTCGAATATAAATACAAACATTCTAAAACCTTCCTACGGTTTCCTCAGAATTAGCAGTCTTAGGACCCCGTGTCATGATGCTGCCACCTCCGTGCTTCACTGTGGTGGTCCTGGTCAGGTTCACGCCAAACATCTGGACTCCATCTGAGCCCAACATGTTTATCTTCATCTGACCAAAGAATGTTCTCCAGCATCCATCAGGCTTGTTTTACGTTCTGTAGCAAAGTTGAGCGTTTTCCTTTCTTTGTCCTCCGTCCACAGAGGTTGATGTTCTGACCTTCACACTGTCTGATCTTCACACTAACTCTGTTCTCCATCCTGGACCAAGTCAGGTTCTCACAGCCGGGTTGGGAAGGTAGTTGAGTGTCCGTGGAGTCATCGTAGGAGGACGACCACTGCAGTCCTGATCAGTGCTACTATGGCTCCTTCTGGACCTCCTGGTTACTCCTCACACTGGGCTCCACTGGGCTTTAGTTTCTCCTTTTTCCATCTTTGTGAAGCCCTTAAATTGGACTTTTTGATTCTTATGGACGTTCTCTTCCATGTGGAGCCATGATGCAGACATAGAACTGAGAAGGTTCTGCTGTTCTCGGCTCATTGTAGAACCATGTTCATGCAGTCGGACTGACTGGAAACCATTACTGGACTCAGGTGGATTCACTTTTGTTGGTTTAAGTTTCTATTTCGGGGCCTGATTTTTCTTTACAGTCTTTCTAAAGTGTTTGTTTTTGGTTGTTTGTTAGAACAAGTTCTCCTGTTTCAGTGATATTGCACCGGGGTATGTTTACTCCACGGCATGCTTTTAGACATCGGAGCTTTAAGGAGTGCGCTGACTTTTTTTGTTTTTGTTGTTTGCACCTCATCTGATAATACAAACCAAACTGTCGTGTTTTTGTTTTTTCTTCTTCTACCCTCCCTCCTCGTTGCCATATTTAATCCGCTGCCGATAAGTGAGGGGATCAGCTCTGAGCGCTCGGGACGCAAACTCGCTAATTTGCCGGCCAATTATGACAGTTGTGATGATGATTACTGCCTGACAGCTCGCTTGTCCTTCATTGTCTCTGTGTGATTTAATTTGCGACGCCATGTCACGAGGCGCTCGGTTTGAAGTTTTCGAGCCCGTGCAGCAAATTAAATCAAGCGCAGCTGCAGGAGCCTACATTCTGTTTTCTGATGTTCTTTACAGGCCACCGGTTAATAACGAACGGGAGGGCGGGCCGGGGAACAAAAAAGAACCGAGGCCGGTGTTGTTGAGACATGCCTTCTCCCCCGTGATGTATAATTACGTAGGTGGGCTGACGGGTAAATAACATTTCCTGCAGCAAGCCGGGATTTCGCAATCTCGGACGAGAATCATGACATCTCGTTACGTCGCCGCCCCAGAAATTAGCTTTTATCCGGCGGTGAAAAGGCCTGTCACAGTCTGATAATGACATTTTGAAATAATGACAGCAGGAAGAAGGAAAAAAAAAAAGGGTGCAGAGGTGTCGGGGGAAGAAGGAAACAAGAAATGGGGGGGAAAAAAAAACCAAACCAGGAGGTCCGAGTGCTTCTAAGAAAGCGTTTGAGGAGGTTTTTGAAGCAGCGCCTGATGTTCGATTTGTCTGATGGAAAACGCCTCCGATGTGCGGCCTCGTGCGTCTGTCTCTGGCCTTGTGCGTCGCTTTTTTTTCTGCCTGGTTGTGTGTTTATGAGTGTGTGTTTTCCCCCGGCGCTGCCTGTGTGCTGGTTAGAGCATTAATGATGTGTCTGGGGAGCGCTGCCTCTACATAATTTATCAACCAGGATTTATTAGCCGCAGAATTAACTTGTAGGGGCTGGAGGGGGGGGTGGAGGGGTGGAGGGGTAGCGCAGGATGCATTTGTTCTTGTTTTTGAATTTATGTGTGCGGATGCATCGCGGCTCCCTGGCGATCCATTTCTTTCCATCAGCCTCCTGCCACGGGGACGTCCCCAGCCGTATAATTGGCCGAGTTATTTTAATTTTAGTCGGGTTTAAATTACGATTCAAGGCGCCGCCGTTCGCCGTGCTCGCGTGTGAGGTAGAGCCACCGCAGATGCCGACGACAGACTTTGATTTAATAAGCGCTGACGTCCCCGGTTGACTGATGGCAGGGCGAGAGGAGGCGAGAGGAGGCGAGAGGAGGCGAGAGGCTGGGTTTGCTCGCAGAGTTGAAGGAGAAAGTTTGCACCGGGGCTGATTCGACTGAGATGGAGTCGACGTCTGAACACGTTGCTGCACGATACTGCAAAAAATAAAACATTGCAAGACTGAATTTTTCTGCAAAATCCCCCCAAAAATGAAACAATACAGGAGTGAAACTGTTTAGGAAGCATGAGTCACTCTAAAAACGGGTTTATCAGTGAGTGCATCTGCATAAAAGATGATTTTATAAAAGCGTTAACACTGCCAGAGAAATCCAAAATGTGTTTTTTTGTCGTAGATGACCTTCAGATCTGGCTTTAAATTTAAACATTTTCTAGAAACCAGAAGAAAAAAACAACAGGAAATTGAAAGTATCATGAAGGCGTTAATCATACATAGAAAATAAAAAATAATACATTTTTAAAAAGCCAGTGCAGACCCTGTTTTATCCAGTAGCGCTGCCAGAGGAATTAAAAATAGATCTTTGCCTTGGATGGCAGTCAGACCTGGCTTTGCACTCGTCACTCAGAGCCTTTAAATGGTCGAGAAATCAATCAGCTGTTGAAATATTTCCAGACTGTGTTTTGCAACCGAACTTTTGTTTTTTCGGTGTTTTTCTTTTCTCCTGTTCTTCGCTGTGGCGCCTGCAGGTCGACGAACTCTGTGCGAATAATGTTCTCCTGTAGGTTGGTCATGGAAAATGAGAACCCCACAAGATCTCTGTTTTGCAGCAAAAGCAGACGTAGCACGATGCCAGTTTACGTCACACAAATTAAAAGGTCGAAGCTGAAACAATAAACCGTGCAGCTGCATCAGAGGCTAAAGATCTGCGCTGTAGCCTGACGTGCAACCGTCACTGCAGCGTAGACAACTACACGCAAAAGAAAATAAAAGTGTCCTCGTCCTACAAAGAAAGACGCCACCGGTTCTTATTTCTGTGTTGCGTTTTGTTTGAAGTAACTTCTGTTCAGCATTTATTAAATCCAACTTGATTTGTTTTCTCAGTGGAGACACAGAACACCACCGCTGTGAATTACTGGTCAGAAGTGATTTATGGATATGAAAAACGGAGATGATTTAAGGAAAATTGTCACGAGTATGAATTTAATTTTCACCTATTCTGCAGTGCTGGATATCTGAGATTACATTCATATCAGTAATTTAATTTTGACTGGTTGGATTTTAGATGTAATTCTATTTATAATATATATATTTATAGCTGCCATTGTTTGAAATACACAGAGAAATTCAACACAGCAGCACAAAAACACCACCGCTAACTCGTACCGTAGCGGTGTAGCTGCGCTGTGCATAAATACCAACAACAGTGTAGATTTAATGCAAACAAGCTTTAGGTTACAACACAGGAGCATAAATGTGTGTTTCGGTGGTGCAGCTGTCCTTGAACCTGCCTCATTGTTGTCTTCTGGATAGAAGTCGCAGTTTTCTTTGTGCATTTCTATCGTTTCCTTCTGGGGTCTTTTGCAGCATCTGTTAATTCCCTCCATGTGCCTGCTGCTTGTGTTCCAGATCACAGAGATGGGGAAGGACTCCCTGCCCGCCTGGCTGCACTGGGACGCCAGCAGCAGAATCCTGCAGGGCCTCCCCCTGGACAAGGACAAAGGGGTCCACTACATCTCCGTCTCCATCTCCAACCACACCAAGTCCTCGTCCTCCTCGGAGGTGTTCTCCATCGAGGTGCACCCCGAGGACCACCCGGACGCCGACTCGGCCCAGCTGGCGTCCAACCAGGCGTCGGCCGAGGACGACGTCCAGCCCTTCGCGTGCGCCAACGAGGAGCCGGTGACGGTGCTGACGGTGATCCTGGACGCCGACCTGACCAAGATGAGCTCCGAGCAGCGGGTGGAGCTGCTGGACGACATGAGGAGCTTCTCCGGCGTCGGGCTGCAGCACATGAAGATCCTCCCCGTGGTCAACAACCGGCTGTTCGACATGTCTGCGTTCATGGCCGGGCCCGGGAACGCCAAGAAGGTGGGACATGAATACCGATGAGTGCATGTGCGGCGAGGCCTTTAACATTTAATCAGGGAGCCCACCAGTAATTTAATCAGGAATTATACATACCGACCGACTGCTGTTTGATGTATCCATAACGTGGGTTTGACTGGCAGCAGTTCTAATTAAAGATATCTGCAAATTCTCATTTCTCACTAATTTAAATGTTAGTTTTTAATATCAATTTAGTTCTTGCTCTTAAAAATGATTATCGCTGAGTTTAATTAGAGCTAGTCAGCTGTTACCACTGACTTGTATTCAGCTGAATATCTCCATGAATTCATTTAAAGTTGACACATCCATAATGTCATTTTGATTAGTTCTGACTAATGAACTCCACAACGAGTTAATGTTTTATTCCCTCTACTAAGATTTATATTTAAGATATATTTACATTTTTATTTGCATTCAGTCATAACGGACAAGTCAAAATGTTCATTGTTAGAATTAACAATAATTGTTTTGCTGGTAAAGAGTCCATTGTTGACGTCTGTAATTTAATTGGAGCTCGTCAGCTGGCACCATTGACTCCTGTTCAAACTCAGTTAAATTAATCCATAAATTCAATTCAAGTCAACACATCCGTAAATCCTCAGATTCTTGGTATCAACAGTTAATTTCTTGTTTTTGAAAATGCTGATTTCTTCAGTTTAATTGTTACCATTGACTTCTATTCAGATTCAGGGGAACACATCCGTACTGCAGACGTGAATTATAAACGTGCGCTTCATAGTTCTGTTTAATGATTTAAATTGATCTGAAATTCAACAGTAACAACCTAAAACTATATTCCTACCAGTAACAGACATATTTGACATTTTTTGTATTTGTTCTTTTTGATTAAGAAACTTCTCAAGAGTCTTTTTAACTTTTTTTTAAATCAACAATTAATTTCCCAGCATTAAACTGCTCATCTGCGGCTTCATTAGAACCAGTCAAGATGAACAATTGTTCTCAATACATTAACGATATTTAAACTGAATTCTTCACTGATGTCAATCATCGACAATCGTTCTTATATTGTGGATATTATAAATGGAGTTATATCTAAAATTATATCATTGATTTGTTCATAATTTCTGACATCTAAATGCCTGCAGATGACATTCCTGCTAATAACAATTACGTTTGAAATGTTTCAATTTCTCACATCTATAAATAATTTCTGACTAATTAAAACAGGAATTGTAATTTCCAACAAGTCAAATGTCCTTGTAGATATCTGCCGTGACATATCTGAAATGAATATGCTAATTAGGCCCACATTCGTTTTGATATGTTTTATTGTATTTGACATTACATTACACTTTATTTATAATGGATCATGTTAACTTGAGGTACCTGTAAAATTTGTCTGGACACATTTCAAAGCAATTACTAAACCAAGTCACAGGTTCATTTGATTTAATTGCAGATATCAGTAATTCATTATTTCCTGAGTCAACTTAAAGATATCTGCAGCTGGATTTCCACACGTCGCATTTCCGAATTTAGTACTTTGATTTATTCTTAGTCTTCATCTGTCACTTCTTTGAATTCTTTATATCGTCTGAGCGCTTGAGGCCACAGCTGCGTCCGTGTTTGTATACGGTTGCCACGGTTACAGGTGTTATTCTGGTCTGTGGTGAGTTTATCGGAAAAGGCTCCGCGTCCCTCGTGTCAGAAGGACTTTTCTCTGAAAACACGACTAGAGTTCATTATGTCTGATTCCACAGATTTATAAATTTATCATTTGTAAACGCTCAGAACTGTCATTTAGTTTTTGGCTAATGAGTCGTCACCTCCTGAATTATTACTTTTTTTTATTAAGTTTCAGTTTTGTTTTTCGTTTTGAAAAATGATTCGTCCACTTTTACTTTTCATCGTAGTTTTTCAATGATGAATTTAACTCGTCTCTACATTTCCTGATAAGTCAGCCTAATTGCGATATTAATCTCAGATATGTCACTGAAGATATCTACCAAGACATTTGTCTCGTGGAAATAACAAATAATTTATCAAATAGTCAGAACTGATTTATAGACATGACAAATGGCGACGTGTATCTTAAATAGCATTATCACTACTGCGAGTGTAATTTTAACACATTTAGACATCGGAAATTATATTCTTACAAGTTAGATATCATTTATTAGAACTTTTCAAAATGACTATGGATGTTTCACTTGAAGTTGAATTACAGAACAGAATTTAAATAGAAGTCAGTGGTAAAAGTTGAATAGTTGTAATTAAACTACCGTTGTTTTGAAGTCACTGGTTGAAGTTGACAAGTTACAGGTAACTTTCATAGCATCATTCATTGAGTAGACGTCAACGGCAAAACCTGACTAGTTGTAGTTACAGATATCTGCACTGGACGTTTCCACTCAGACGATGTTAAGTGTTGAAGTCAATGCTCAGATTAGTGAGAAACAAATTCTAGATACTTTGAAGTAGTATTCCTACCAGTCAAAATGTTGGTTTGGAAATCCAACAAGTCAAAAAGCAGTTGTTGATGTCCACACTCACTGAGTAAATAATCAAAGGGCTCACCATAGTACATGCATTTCAGGATAATTAAATACTTACAGATCAGGGAGTCTTTTAGATGCCGTGTTGCTAGCTGCATAATCAAATTAATAATGTCCTTTGTCCATCTAGGTGGTGGAGAATGGTGCTCTGCTGTCCTGGAAGCTCGGCTGCTCGCTGGACCAAAGCACAGTCCCAAATATCAACAGCGTCCAGGGTCCTGCAAAGGAAGGCGCCATGTCTGCCAGGCTGGGATACCCGGTGGTGGGCTGGCACATCGCGAACAAGAAACCCCACGTACCGAAGAGGGTCAGACGCCAGTTAAACAACACCCCGACGCCTGTTCTGGCGGTGCTTCCTCCGACAACTGTGGTGGAGCCGCCAGTTAGGATTATCCCGACCCTCTCCTCACCTTCTATCGCTGCACCAACCGAAAGCTCAGCTCCCCCTGTACGAGGCCCGGTCCCCCTTCCAGGCAAGCCTACCATCAGAGTCCGGGATCCTATTGCCCACACCCCAACCCTGGGACCTCCTCAGCCAACAAAGGTGATGGAGAGCACCAGCATCCTTCCCATCCAGCCCACCATGACCAGGCCAACCTATGTAGAAGCCACCGCTACGCCACCCTCACCGACCAGAAGACCCACAAAGAAACCTAAGAGGCCCAAAACTACACCGGTGTCCAGAGAGCCAAAGACCTCAACAGCCAAGCCGCCGAGGCGCACAACACCAGCACCTGGTGTGGTACTGGATCCATACAATGAGAAGCCTGTCCTGAGGAACCCCATCGACCAGGTCAACGCATTGGTGGGCACGTATTTCGAGGTTAAGATCCCATCGGATACCTTCTTCGACAAAGAGGATGGAACTACAGATAAGCTGCGTCTGACCCTGAGACAGAACCACAATGAGGTGGTTGGAGAGGGCTCGTGGATCCAGTTCAACACCACCAGCCAGCTACTCTACGGTCTGCCTGATGTCCAGCATGTTGGTAAACACGAATACTTCATGCAGGCGACCGACAAAGGTGGCCTGAATGTATTTGATGCTATTGAGGTCCATGTGAACCGCTGGCCAGCCAATGACAAAACCCCCGTGATATTCACAGCCCGGTTTGACGGTGAGCCACGTTCGGTGACAAACGACATCCACAAAAAGATCCTTCTGGTGAAGAAGCTGGCGTACGCACTGGGCGACCGCAACAGCAGCACAGTGAGCATACGCAATATCACCAAAGGGTCTATTGTGGTGGAGTGGACAAACACCAGCCTCCCGCATCACCCGTGTCCGAAGGAGCAGCTGCAAATTATGAGCAGAACACTTGCTGATGCTGATGGAAGACCCACACAGACCTTCAGGTACTCCATGGAGCCAGAATTCAGGCCGCTGGACGTCTCGGTGAAGGGACGGGCGAGCTGCAGAGCGTATTCCTTCGTCCCACCTGGAGAGATCGACATACCAGAACCTCCCGCGGTCACTCCGGGTCTGGGATCGAGCCGGCACAGCACAGACGACGTCTACCTCCACACGGTGATTCCTGCCGTGGTGGTGGCGGCGATTCTGTTAATAGCGGGAATCATCGCAATGATCTGCTACAGAAAGAAGCGAAAGGGCAAGCTGACCATCGAGGACCAGGCCACCTTCATTAAGAAGGGTGTGCCGATTATCTTTGCGGATGAACTCGATGATTCAAAGCCGCCTCCGTCCTCCAGCATGCCCCTGATTCTGCAGGAAGAGAAACCCCCTCTTCCGCCTCCAGAGTACCCCAACATGGCCACGCCGGAGACCACCCCCCTCAACCAGGAGCTGCTGGGGGAGTACACGGCCCTGCGAGACGAGGACCCTAACGCGCCTCCCTACCAGCCGCCGCCTCCTTTCACCGCTCCCATGGAGGGCAAAGGTTCCCGTCCCAAGAACATGACTCCCTACAGATCTCCACCCCCCTACGTGCCACCCTAAGACTTGTTTACCCCTCTGCTGCTCGGGCGGAGGGTGAGGATGCCTGAGGAACTGTTTCCATTCTGGTGTTTGTCTGTCTGGACATTTAAAGGGAGCGACGACAAGAGGTGCTAAAGTACAACACAGCTACAGGGGACTTTGGTTTGGGATGGGGAGTCATGAGTTGGGATGGGATGATTGATCGACACAGCTGGGAGGGACTACTCTTTCAGCGGTAGCCCAGCGACTACAGTGGCCTAAGACAAACAAATTCTCGTCACATTGGCTTTCGGTTCGACCGGTTGGTCAGAAGCGACAGTTGGGAGACAAGCTCTCCCTTCCCAGCATTTCATTTTTCTCTCAGTTGATTTGGATTTTTTATTTCATTTTTTTGTCTTTTCCATCTTTGCCCCGAGATTATTTTTTTTCCGCCCTTTTCTCTGGACTGAAGCCTAACAACTCTTCTTCTGTCTCGCTTTTGAATAATCCAGTGAACTGTCATCAGACCACTGCGGGCAGGCAACAGTTTTTAAGAGCGAGATCCTCAGAATACAAGAAAAAGCTACTATCACACGGATCTCCAATCACCCCTGCAGACGACACAAGAGAATGGGAGGTCGAGTTGTGTGAATGAGTGAGTGTGTTTATTCAGATTCAATACGGTTTGCCTTTTAACACTTGTTGTCTGTTTCTATCCTTATTCACAATGTCTAGTAAAGCTGAGAATAACAAGGTAGCCTAAAAAAAAAAAAAAAAAGATTTAGAGATGAATAATAAATGATTTGTTTGTTTCATTGGTTTTAAAATTCACTGTATATCTGGAAGACGTTCTGATAGATTGTTATATTTTTTTGGTGGTGGAAGAAATCGGGGAGAAAGGGACTGCCTCGCTAAAATAACCTGCGGGAGGTTTTGATTCCTGTTTTACATAAACACCGATTACAGCGCGTTGGATGGACCTTCTGCCGTGTCGGCAGACGCAAGCAGCAAGAACGCAACTGTTTTCATTGCAAGACAAACAATCGCAGTTTAATTTGGATGCAAAGTTTATAGTTTAGGTGGATTTCTGTTCATTTAATCCAGTTTGTCGTCAGGGTTGCTTGCGGTTCACACAACTACAGCAAAAACCAGGTTTCTACACGCACACGACAGGAAGAACACCCCTGCAGTTTGTTTTGGACCGGGGATAATTATTTTTTTATGTAACGAGGCAGTTCTTCTCTCCAGTCAGAAACATTGTGTGCCATGGAGACTGTATGTACAGATGTTCACATTTTAGAGGTCACAGAGGAGAAGATTGACACGGCGGCAGAGATTCGGAAGGAAAAAACGAATTTCCAATAATCACGGTGTACAACAGAAGCGAGGACATCTCTGTGCAATATCGCTCATCTGTCAAATGATTAACACCTCACGGCAATCACGTTACTTTTACGCAGAACAGTAAGCTAATGCTCTGAAGTAGAATTAAATACTAATGGTTTAGATGTTAAAAATACAAAGGAGCTTCACGCAAACTTTCATTACTGAGATTCAAATCTTTTATTTGTTTGGATACCAGGTTACATATGTACTCATGCAGCCCCATGTCATGATGCTGCCACCTCCGTGCTTCACTGTGGTGGTCCTGGTCAGGTTCTCACCAAACATCTGGACTCCATCTGAGCCCAACAAGTTCATCTCCATCTGACCAGAGAATGTTCTCCAACATTCATGAGGCTTGTTTGCAAAGTTTCATAAAGTGGTTTTGTGCCAAATGAGAAGCAAGTTTTTTTTTTTTTTCCCCATGGACTCCATCCGTAGAGGTTAATGTTCAAACTGTCTGAGCTTCACATCAACTCTGGTCTCCATTGATAACTCCTGGACCAAGTCGGGTTCTCACAGCCGGATTGTGAAAGCAGTTGATTGTCCGTGGAGTCATTTCAGGAGGGCGACCACTGCAGCCCTGATCAGTGCTACTATGGCTCCTTCTGGACCTCCTGGTTACTGCTCACACTGGGCTGCACTGGTTCTTTGTTGATCTTCCTGGATCCTTTTCCACATTTGTAAAGCCTCACAATCAGTCTTTTTCAGTTCCTTTGCAATTTTTTCCACATGTGGAGCCATGATGCAGACATCAGCAGCCCATCGGTCCAAAACTGAGAATGTTCTGCTGTTCTCGGCTCATTTTAGAACCACGTTCATGCAGTTAGGCTGACTGGAAATCGTGGGTTTTGTTGCATTGAGTTTCTATATAATTTTTCTAAAGTTACTGTTTCTAAATGTTTTCAAGAATAAAAACTCTCCTGTTAGGAATAATTCAGCTGCTGAGAGGTGAAATAAGGTGGAACCATTAAATATTGAAGCCATATTGCTCACGGTGTTCTCGCTTCTGTCGTATATTGTAGCTCGACGAAAATCTCCTTCTAATTTTTTTACAAAGTTTTTGATACAGCCTCAAATTGTTTGATTATTACAAGAAAACACGATTAATGATTAGTCTTCTGTGATTTGTAAAATTTTAGCCTAGATTATGATTCAATTATGTTTTTTTTTTGGTTTCGTTTGTTCGTCATGGGTCACATATTTCCAGTGTTTTATTTTACCGTGTGTGTTTGCATTTACAAATGTATCTCCCACTATACAAAGATGGAATGACCCATATTTTATGTAATCACAAATTTTATTTTTTATGTCCTTTTACGTTTGCTGATGAGTTTCGACTTGAAAGTGACCCTTTGCAATAATAATGTAACGGCGCGGTCGGCTCAGCGACCGGCCGATGCAGGCTCAAGCGAGTGACTCGTATTGTCATAATATTGTTGGTTTTTGCAGGATGCCAAGGCTTTTTTTGCTTATCGAGTGTGCATTGTAATAATAAAACCAACTGGTACCTTAAACAGAACAACCCCACACCTTCTTCATTCATGTCTGGTGTAACTTTGCTGGCTCTGCGGGGACTTTCCTCGTCCTGTCATACTCTCGATCAAACCCTGACTGATGTTTATGGATGAGGTTTTTGGTCACTGTCACTTTTCTACTGCTCCCACTTAGCCTTGAATTGATAAATCAATCTGTCTGAGGTCCACGAGAGGTTTTACCTCCACAGACGGCTTGCTGCCTAGCAACCGCCTCTGGTCTTCATTGGAACGGTTGTACTGCTGTCCTTTTTGTACTAAATTATTCTGCTATTGAATGACTAGTTGGACGATTCAGTTTGAAAGCTCTGCCCATTAAAAAGGCTACGCTGTGAAAACACTCTCTCAGCTCGGTCTGTCTTTCCGCACGTTGCATGCAGATAATTTGCACTGATTACTTAGGCTATTGATTAGATGTAAACAATTTGCCGGCTCTGTTGCGCCTCTGTGATAATTCACGACAGGGTTTAATTTGGAGGCAGGGGAGCCGATGATGAATGTATTCCCAGGGCGTCGCCAGTTGCTACGGATCGCGGTGACGACAAAGATTAATGGAGGATTGATCCGGGTTTGATTGAGGCGACTCGGGACATGACAAGACTCTCGGCTTTTCAAATCACCATCAGCGATGCACTTACGGGGGTAAAAGAAGGCTGAACCAACACATCGAAAACCAATTACAAGCTCAACAAATAAAGATATGTAAAAGGGGACCGAGTTCAACTCAATTCAACGCCGGCCCTTTACAATACGGTGCTGATACACTTTAGAGCTGCACAAGGGAGGCAGCAGAGAAACTAAAACGACGGAAGGTAAATCAATAAAATCACTCATGGTGCCTGTTTATGCAGATCCCCTGTGGATTAACCACAACATGCAGCAAATATTTGTTCATGTGGACCTGCAACCCTCCAGTTTCTGGGTGTGTGTTTTGTTTTAGCTCATTGTCCTGCAGCTTCATAGAAACAGAACAACCATGAAGCCAGAGACAGAACTCAAACCTGGAATCAACGGTGTAGTTACAAGTGACGGGTTCGGTGCCAAAGTGGACCACAAAAAAAATTTGAGTTTTATAACCAGTTTCTCATTTATGTGTTGTTTACACTTACCATCATTATTGTTGGTTTAAATTGCTGCAGGATTCATTTTGACCTTAAAAAACAAATGTGCAATTAAAATCTTTCAGCAGCAGCTCACAGGGTTTTTTTTTAAACAGGTTGTTTAATAAATAAATATGGTTTAAATATCCCATAAAACATTCAACCTGCTCGTGCATGACGTCCGCTGCAGTGGGTTCAACTAAAACCACATCATGCAGAGTATTTACTCCAAACTTCTCCGTCTTTCTACACGATCATTGTCTTTATTTACATAAAATATAGCATCATGAATCCACAGCGTGCCTCCCACCTGCAGAATATCTATTAATTCTACAAGAAACATGCATGGACTAAGATATTCTCTCTACATCTGTGGTTTTATTCTGCTAATCAATAAAGATATTTTTACTGTTTAGCAAGCCTTTAATAAACTAGATGTTGTCTTATTGGACCGTTTCATAAGCTGCTATTACCTTAGATTTAGTTTTTTGTTTATTTGTGCGTTATTATGGGTCGTTCCATATAAAATCTACCAAATCTGAAAAATCCCACCGGACCCCTTCAGAATCACCAGATTTCTTTATGTGCAATATATATATTTCTATTTATTTAATGAAGCCATGCAAAGTTTTGCCTTCACACTGTGGATATTTTCAGAGTTACAGGTTCTCAGTCACACGGGGGGCGAGTCAAAATTTCACACCTTATAATTAGTGTGACATTTTTCCATCATTTCTGAGCCTTCGTCGCTACAGGAAATAAATATTTGACATTTGCAGGGCTGAAAAACACATCTGAGTTCTGTTAAAAAGATCAATTCTACATCCGTCCGGGTGTCACCGTCTGAACACCGGATCTGGTTTCTGTTTGTTTTTCTCCAGAACCAACTTTGAGCATCGGTATTATGGGATGTACCATAGTTTTAGCAGTTTAATGTCTATGACGTATAAACAATCACCGGTACCCTGGATGTGTTTCTGGTTTCTGATAAACTTTAAAAAGTGAATTCCAGGTGGTTGGTCAGAACCAGTTCTAGACAAAGAAAGGACCATTTTTACACACATCTGATACCAGGTTAGAAAACCAGATTCTGTGTTTGGATTGTGACATCTGGAGTGAAACTAAAACTGCTCTGCTTGCAGTTTTAACCAGAACTCATACAGGGTTTTCATCCTAACATGTCATGTGTCCATCTGCTGTTCTGATGAAGTTCTGAGGCTCAGAAATGATGGAAAAAGTCCATTAAAAAGGGTGAAGTTTCAACTTTGACGGCCTGTAACTCTAAAAATACTCAGAGTATGAAGGTAAAACTTTGCATGGCTTTATTAAATATATGAAAGTTACTGTAGATGAGGAAATATAACAAAAAATTGACCTCAGTGTGAATTTGAAAATGCAGATTCAGACAGGTGGAAACCAGCAGCCATTAACGAGCGTTAGCAAGATGGCTGCGGAGCAAGTGCACCAGGGATTTTTAACACCTGTAGAGGAAACACCTGAGGATGATATCAACTGAAAATGTATCACAGGTAAGACTTCTGCTCCGGAACCGTCTAAATATGTGTTTGGGTCGCGAATAATACTGTTGTTTCTGAGTCAGCACGAAGCTAGGATGCGGCTATGTGCTGGAGCCGTGCGTTAGCGATTAGCATGAGGATGCGGCTATGTGCTGGAGCCGTGCGTTAGCGATTAGCATGAGGATGCCGCTATGTGCTGGAACTGTGCGTTAGCGATTAGCATAAAGAGATTAGCATCGGCGATTAGCATAAAC